ATGGACTTCTTTTCAAATATTACATTATATTTTGATTTTAAATATCGTTGAAATATATATTATTTTTACTTTATTTTTACCTTTGACTACATTGTTCTTAGTTAATTTGTAGGTTTTGATTGTTATAATTTTATAGTACTATACTATGTAAAAGTAAAACTAATTATAGGTTGTTGGTTGGTATTATAGTCTTCTTTGAAGTTTGATGGAGTGTGAAATTTGTAATTAAAAAAATTTATAGTAATATTTTCATTTTGATAAATTATTTATTATTACTTAATTATCTTATAATTGTTTCAATATAACTCTTCAAAATTTATAATATTATTAGTCATTTCCAGCGAATAAGATACAGTATTTATAATAGTATTAGTCATTTCCAGCGAATAAGATACAGTATACAAAATCTCACCAAAGGTTCCAGTTCGAGCCCTCACATAAAAAAAATTAGTATGTGGTAATATGTTTTAGAACTATTAAATTTTTATTGGGCCCATTTTTCAGACCCCCTGTCTGCACCACATTGAATAAAATAAAAAATGATTTAAAAAAATACTATAAATATAACTTGAAAATACAAAAATTAACTAATAAAATAAATTTTTTTAATCTATATAAGAATGACCATGACGATAAAAAAGGTCAATTTTTGTTGGTACCCAAACTATCCAATCCATAATTTGCCTGTTTTTGTTTATCATGTTTAGCTAATAAAAGACTTCCTTATACCCCGATCTTCCCAATTGACATTTATAAAGAAATATATTCATTAATAATTTTTTAAAAATAATTCCGAAAAAAAGGTGAAAAACCAAATTGTTATTCTAAAAATGGAGGAGCCCTAAAACTATTAATGGCGAAAAAGCCACTCAAATGTTTCTCCTCCCTTACGAAAATCCTATATACTTTTATGAGTGGCATATGAGAATCCCGAATTCTGAATTAATGTATAACGATGCCGTATAAAATGATACTTTGATTTATTATTTATTTCAGAGATCTGCAGAACTTTTTTCAAGCTCAACTCCAATTTTTTTTGTAAAATTTTGAAAATATGAGTCTCCATTTCGATTTTTTAAACCTGCCCATTTCACCGTTCGGACCTGACCTGCAGGTCCCTGATTTATTTTAAATCTCTGAAATCGGAATCAATTTAGTAGTAATTTTTTTTTAGAAGCTATATAATATAATTTTATTATATAAAAAAACTTGCAAAACATATAATATAAAAAAATGTAATTGGAAAATGATTCTCAAAAGAAAAAGCAATCCTGAATTCTGAACAATCTTTGCCCTCGACGGCACATACGTTTTTAAAAAAATGATAAGCCTAAGTGGCAGATCCATCTTGGAACCTGACTTCGGACTGTTTTCGTAACTCAAACATCTTTGTTTTCTCGGGGATTATTAAGAATCCGTTGTCATCACCTTACAAGTGGTTTATTCTACCATTTGACTATTAATTTAACCAAGAAAAAAGGATGAAGTTAGGCTTTATTATTTTATTTAAAAAAAATTAACATCGATTGGATTGATTGATTGAGATCATAAAATATTAAATTTATGGCTCCTCTGTTTTTCCCCCAATAGCAATATTTTTTTTTTATTATTATTATTCATCTCATAACTATTTTCGAAATTAATTTACTGTAAAATTATTTTTTATTTAACCTTAGGCGAGTCCTTTTACAAAAAGTGGAACAAAATTTTTTCTTTCTTTTCTCAATTGATTCTTATTTTAATTATCGATTAACCTATTGGACCATTGTATAATTTTGAACAAAACATTTTTGGAACTCAATTTGCTCAAATTAGACAAGTTTAATTAGTATATTTAAAACACTGTGAAATAAAATATTATCAAAAAAGCATGTGTATGTGTTTTTTTGCCCCCTATAAAAAAATAAATAAAACACATAATTATATTTATAGTAAATGTTTGAAAAATGTTTTTAATATATTTTTATAAGCCTATAAATAAAAGTTTAACTTCCTTGCCCATATTTTATCTGAAAATAATTTTACAGAAATCATCTTTTTAATTTATTTTTATAAACCTATAAATAAAAGTTTAACTTCCTTCCCATATTTTATCTGAAAATAATTTTACAGAAATCATCAAAATCACTATCCCCTTATCTTGACCGCTTTGGGTCAGTCCCTATTAAAAATTGTTCTATATATTGATAAGGCCATCTATGTGGATCCAAACATAATCGCACTCGAGGGATCCCTTATGAGAGTTTCCTTGTACTTTCATTAATTATATTATTTAACGGGTTTTGGATTCATTACTTTAACAAAATGGTTCAAAAGTTACTTATTTTTTTTTGAAATAAATGCTTTTGAAACAATGTAACAGATGGCTGAACAATGAAAATTTTTTTATATTTTGATCATAATTAAAAACATTGTTTAATTACATTCCCAAAATGCAAAAAAATTTCAAATATGGAGAATGTAAGTTCTTTTTCTTTCATGAATTTAAATATTACATTAATTGTTAAGTTTAGTTTCTTCACGTTATAAAATGAAATAAGTTTAGAAATTTTTGAAATTCGCACTCAACTTAAACTAAAGGAAGCACCGTTAATTTTATTAACCACTAATGGCGATCACTTTGTCGATTAATTCTGAAAAAAGCCCTGGCAAGGATGCCCCAGACAAAACTACGTGCTGCAAAATATTTTGGCCCAAAAAAATATCAATTCATATATTTATCCTAGAATTAATCTATATTAAATTAACCCTATTACCTGACAATTTATAATCCGTTTGTAGTATTTTTGTCCTACTATTGTAAATTAACCTTCAATGATTTGTCTATTTGTATTACAATTAGAGTAACTACAAAAAAAATTCTTATGGGGTAAAATATGGTTTTTAAAAAAAATGTTTTATTTGTCTACCATGTTTGATTTAATCCCAAATTATATTTACCGCGGTGTTTATTAAGTCAAATTTTTTTATAAACCCTATTGGTCACTTATCTTAATATTTTTGCATATAATTTTACTTATTTTATAAATGTAATATCAAAGATTTCAAAGGCAATTATTATATCATACTCTATATTTAATTATTACAAGTAAATTGTAATAGTATTACTATTGATAAGATAGGGATATCATTTTTTTTGATTGTTTCTTTTTTTTTAAAAGGGAAAATAAAAATAGATATGTTTTAATAATTTACTACACTACTACTATACATTACATTACTTATGCACATACAAAATATAATAATTTATGCATGCAATTTCCACTTCTATTATTTACTTTTGAATTGAGTTAATATAAATATAATACTATCTGTAGCAAGTGCTCTGTATTGGGTGCTCAAATTCAAACTAGTTACACAACATTTAACAATTTAATTTTAAATTCAAACGATATTCACCATCACCACGCCAACAAATTTTATGATCAAAATAAAACCCTGCAAATTCAATTTATTTTGGCCCAAGCCCGCCTGAATTTTTTAAAAATTTTAGGCCAGAGCTCGATCATCAAAGTCTAATTTCTGTTCTTTGAAAGTGCCTCAATTTGTAATGCAAATAAATTTGCAAATGAAACGGACGACAAAGCAAGAGAAGAGTATATAAATAATAATTTTATTTTTATTCCCATTTCTTAGGTAAAGATATGATAAATTTTCTCAAATCTTTTTTTAAAAACGCAATATATTCTTCTCCATTACACCATATTGAAAATTTACTTTTTACATTACATTTTCATATTTTTTACATAATAGTATAAAAAAAGTAATAATACAAAAAATACATTGGAGTTGGACAGATGTTATTATTAAATTATCTACTTCTCTATTATAATATATAAAATGTATAGCTAATTTACTTTTCTTCTTCTCCCCTCTCATAATTCACGTTCAATGCTAAGGATAAATCGATTGTATTTATCTCATTATGAATTATGATGTATTAATATTATTATCTACTTCATTTTTTTTGTAGATGTTTGTTTTATTATGTGAAAGAAGGAGAAACGGAAAACGAAGAAGGATAAGGAGAACATTCTAATTATTTGTTTCTAGTTTGCGTTTTTTTTGGGAAAACCCTGTGAACTATGCAGGACAAAAAACTAGATAGAATATTCCAATTTAAATAAAAATTAAAATACCGGAAATGGCTATATATTATCAGATGGGTAACGGAACCTCTAGACTTTACTGACTCGAATCTTCTCCGATGACCAAAATAATGATTCAATTATAATTAGATTCTGATTATTTATGTTGACTAAGATAATACATCCCCCTCCCTAATGATGCAATTCCCCCTCCCACTCTGGTCGTAAATAGTAGTACCATTTGGGGTATTTTATTTTAGTTCGTTGGGGATATTTTTGCCCTTTAGATTTTTTATATCAATAAAATTATCGGTTTATAATTTTTATCTCATAATCCCGTAATCTATGAGTTATTGACATTTATTAAAATATGGTGATTTAAACTGCATATTCATTATTCGTAAACGTAATGATATTATTTTTAATATTGATTATTAATTAATAAATTGGAGAAAAAATGTTTCTGGAACAAACCTCTATCGAATATGAGCACCGAAAGGACCTAAAATGTTCACTCTGATTATTGGTAACTATTTTCATCAATGATGATATTTATTCAAATCGAACAAATGCTCAGATTAAGGCCCAAATTAGAAAGTTTTTAGTGCAATATGCATTTTATTAGACTTACGGACTAAATAAAATTTATCAATATGCATTAGCCAGCATTATTATTTGCATAAATTATTTTATTTATATTATAAGTATAACTTGTAAAATGCACGAAGCAATTTTATCATTTAAAAAAAATAATATTATTTTAATGTTTACTCAACATTAAAATTGTTCTCATTTTTTTGCTACATTATGTATGTGATTGTGAATACACTTTTCTGATAAGAAAAAAGGGCCATCAAAAACAATCACAATACATATTTCATAAATTATATTAATTTTTTTTTAAATTTAAAGTTAGAATTTTTATTCAAAATGACATTACCAAAGTGAAAAATACTCATCGGAACCCCCACCACTCCTCAAAAAACGGATACAAGTCGTTTATTCAACCACAATTATACAAAAAAAATTAAGCAATGAATCTCCAATATCCAATCGTCAAATTCCGTTATATATCCTAGTTTTAACAAAGGATCCTAAAAATAAATAAATATAATTGTTTACAAACAAAAAAAGAAGGGGCTTGATTTCCAACCGATGAAAAGACTCAAAAATTCTATTCGTTATTCGTACGCCGCCTTTCACAACGTTATCGCCATATTTCTCATACTCAATATTCGTTTACTAATTGGAAGTAATGATATAATTAATTATTTAGAAAAATATATAGTATGGAGGTTTTCGCCATATTTTTTCAGTTCCGGTCCAGCCCAATAAATTTTTAAAAGTCATTTGCCTTACCGATCTGCCCTAACTTTTTGAAGGTCCGACTGTTATCAGACCCGAATTGTTATTTTTAGAAGTTCGACTTTCACGATTTTTTTTGATTTAAATCAAATTTTCATAATAACCCGGAATAATTCAACATGCCTTCATTTTTTCATTAAAATAATCTTATTGTAAAATTAGCAATAATAATTTGTTTGTCTTATAAATATATAATTAATAAATTAAATTTTGATCTTATAATGATGCTGATTGTTTTAATTTATTTAATTATTTATAAACTAGAGTTAACGTTTGTAATAAACTGCATTTTAATTAATATTAGTATCAGCAAAATATTGAATGAATATTTTACATCTCATTAAATCTAAACAATACTATAATTTCATTGGAGTATATATTAAAAATTTCAAGGTAAATAATATAAAATCATTTTATAATGATAAAATTTAGCAACTAAGCTGGTAAAACGAGCTATAAAATATGTTTCTATTTGAGAAAAAAACGAATAGAGAATTGATTTAAATCATAGCTTTTATTCAAAAAAACTACTACCATTGAATTTTGCGATTTAAATTAAATTGATTTAATCATACAAAACCTACTGCGCGATCAACACTATACATTACGAATTTTAGCGTTCTTATTTCAGGGAGAGAAGTTATATTATTTACCGTATATTCATCTAATTATGAATGTTGGGTAAAAATATAGATGATAAATAGGCACATTTTTCCCATTTTATTAACCTTTCAAATATTTTCGCAAAATTCAGATATTTTTGCTTGTCTTTTTATCCAAGAAATTTTTCTCCTTATAAATTATTATTTGCCTTAAAAAAAACAAATTAAGATGAGAAAAAAAACAAATGTGAGGAAAAAAATAAGTAAGGTCCGAAAAGAAAGTATTTTTTTTATCCTATTTAAATTATAAACTAACTTGAATCGAAAAAAATATAATAAAATGAATTTATTTTTTCTTCCTTTTTCTATCATTCTCGTAACAATATTTGATTGAATCTAGAAGATATATTGCCTTTTATATTTTATAACGTTATAAAATATTGATTAATTATCTATTATAATTTGTAACTAAGTATATTAAAATAATTAATTATTTTTCCGAACCGTGAGAAAAAAAAGAAGATCCTGTGTTTTAACTAAGTCATTTTTCTTCACCTTTATGATAAATGATATGTCTTCACTTCATTAATTCCATTTCAATTAAATTGTATGTCTACTTCTTTTCAAAATGCTGATCTTCAAAATCGCGATATCTTATTTAAGTACAAAGGGCTTCATAAATTCATAAATGTTACTTTTTATGAGTGTGTGTGTTGTATATGGTTATTGTGAACCCTTCAACAAAAAATTGGGGTCGTGTCCGAGTTCAAAAAAAAATTTAAAATAAAAATCAGGGTTTCAGAGCACAAAATTAACATAATAAATTTTACCTATAAAATGGAGGCAAAAAACTCAAAATTTTGAAAAATGCGAAGAAAATGGAAAATGATTCCACAAAAAAATCTCTTTGTATTTATTTTAAATTTAATTTTTTTTGAAACTTTAACTCTCAACTTTTAAAAAGCGTTTGGATTCAGCAAAAACACGAGGGTCAGACTTGGTTCACGTCCCAGGTTATAATCTCGGATTTTAAATTATTTTGCTGATCTTAATTGCCAAAAATACACTTCATTTCCCCCTAAGATAACAGTATATTTAAATTCTAGGTAATTAGTTTATTGGTAACCTTGGCTATTCATAAATTTTGAATTGAATATCAATCCATCAGAGTTAAAAAATTTTTACAGGCTGGGTATCTTGTGCAAAATATTTTACTGACCGAGTCTTGCCAGTATAATAAAAATTCATTAGGCATGAAAATATCGGCAGAGCCCTACTGCATTTATAGTGATAATTTTTGGGCCAAAATTCTTATAATTAAAAAAATATGTAGTGTTGTTAAACGGGATTTTTTAAAATGGTTAACTCAAAATATCCGGAAAATTTTAAACAAACCTGAAAATTTTGTTCATACATTGTAAGGTTTGGACATCTATTAGCCAAATTTTGAGGCTTAGTCGTCAATATTTTTCTGGCTAAAATATTGAGTTGGCCGTTTTTTATAATCGGCTCAAATCGAGACCATTAACAACACTAAAAATATGGTATTTTATGAAATATTTCCCCATTTTTTTTAAAAAATAAATATTTTCTGAGGATCGAAAAAATGGAAATAGGAAAAACAATAAGTGAATGAATATAATACATTATATGATACGCTTATTTTTAACTTTTATAGATAATAATGGCGATTTAAAATATTCGGCCGGCCTGGTTATTTAAAAAAATTATTTAGGACCGGCCCGGGTATCGAAAATTTTGTTGTTAGGGCCGACCCTGCCCGGTATTTAAAAAATAAAAATACGGCCCGGCCTGTGCTAGCACATCTCCAAAATAAAAAATCGGCCCGGCTCGGGTATTTTTTTAAAAATTTTTAGGACCGGCCTTTAACTACAATTTATTTAAGCAGTTTGCCTTCAAGTTTAGATTTTATATGTAGTCAATAGCAGTGTTTATATGCAATTTCTTGAAAAATCATCATGGAAATAATTTTGTCCAAGTAAAAATGATTTCTCCTGAACTTGCATTCAGTTGGTAGGAATTTCTTCTTGAGCGGTATATTTGTAAACGAACTAAGAAGGTTGACCATAAAGTAAACAGATATCTCAATTTCACAATTGTCAAAAAAATTTTAAAACTTTTAATTACAATAGTGAAAGCTCGAAGATCAAAACTGTCTTAAGAATTATATACTACATACCAGCATTAATACCTTATTGATAACACTTTATTTTTATTGATTGATAAATCTTAAATATTTATTATACTTTGTTTTATGGTGTGTATTGTGTATAAAAATAATTCAAATTTAATATATATATTAAAATTTTAAAACCCAATTTTTCTATAACATTAACCGAACCGAACCTTTAATGTATATAATCCTTTTAAATTCAGAGCTTTTTTATCTCAGCCTTGTTCTTATGCATGAATGAATAATATATGTATAATTTTTCTTATCCAATTGTATAAGAATAATTAATTTCAAAAAATCTTTCGCTCTGAAGCATTGGGAATTGGCCCTTCCTATAGTTACATAATTACTAAATTTTACATTAAAATTAAAATCAATAATTTTAAATGTCCTTTATGACATTGCAGACCATTTTAAGGTTTTATAGGATAGGCTACGTGTGCTTCTCCTTCTGTATATGTTAATATTGTATAAATTTTTTTTTTAAATTCATGAATTTTTAAAAAGTTACATAATTTAAAAAATAATCACCTGTCTCATAATCAGTGTAAGATGTTTTATAAAGATAAACTTAAAAACACCTTTTATTTTATTGTTTAAAATGTATAAGTGTGTCTTTATTTGCAAATTAACACTAAAAGTTTAAAAAGTTATTAACGCCAATAAAGAATATTTCTCCATGCTCTTCCATGATTTATTTTTTGATGTTGTTAATAGCTTTTGAATTAATATTATAAACTAGAATAAACAGCATAAAATCACCTGTATAGTTTCTACACGATTTCCTTCATTTGTCTATGTATCCTTAACGTTTGCACTGAGTATACTATAAAACGAGATATCTTTTATGATTGCAAGAAAAAATAAAGTGGAAGGCTTTTTAACCCGTTTTTATACGGTATTTCCATATCGGAATCGGAAATTTAATTTCACCGATATTTTTTATAAGCATTCATTAGCCGTTACATTTGTTTATTTTTAGTAAACACGATTTATTTATATCAGAGACATGGTTGTAAATTTTCATCAATTAATCATAATCATATAAAATACGAAAAGAACAATTTTGAAGAAATTTGAAGATATATTTTATCAAAAACAGTATAAAAGTTTGTGAAACAAACTAAATGAATTTCCCCCCTTGCATCTCTATTTTTGATACGCTTTGCAATGTAGTGTATAATGGAGTTAGTGTTTAAACGACTCGATTTTTGAAAACGGCTAACCCTATATTTTAGCTAAAAAATATTACGAAAACATGGAGTTTTTGCTCATAGATTGTAGAAAGGTTGGGACATCTATTCGTGAAACCTCGAGCCTTTGGCTACAAAATTATAAATTCGCGAAATCGAGCAGTTTAACGACACTAGGTAGAGCTATGCAGATTCATTTTTCGACACTAATTGCTTTGCCCATGTCAAAGATAAATTCTAATTATCAATTTGTTTCGATAAAACTAGAGAAAACATTGGAAATAAGTGGGATTAATTACTCACATTATTGAGCTTAGAAGAGTACTTCCTAGGGGAAAATGGAAAGAAGTTTCACACCCTACCAAATGATCGATTATAATTTGATTAAGAGAAATCTCAACTTTACTTCCCCTAATTTAATAACTGTTATTTAAACTAACCTAAATTGAGATAAGATAGGAATAAAATTTTTATAAAAAAGGTCATAAGAAGGTTCACAATCTCATACATTGAAATAAATAAAGAAATTAAATATCAAGCTTTTATGGTCGTTTAAAATATTAACAATTTTTCTCAATTGCAAGTCGCTTAAAAATGATTACTATTGTCAAAGAGACAAAGTTTGTTAAGCATTTTTTCAGATATAATAAAAAGCACAATTTGAAAATCTTTCTTAAAGTCACAAAAAGTTAGAAAGAATATTATTGCTTTATTTGTGAATTTCATGACCTCATTTAATTAATATGTATATAGAATCTATATAATTATTTATACATATGCCTTAATTCCATATTGTAAGGATGTAGAGGTCGGCGCGGGCCGGCCTGCGGCTCGTGGAATTTTTTGAAAAGGGTTTTCGGCCTGGCACGTATAATTATTTTATGACTAAAAGGGACAGGAATTTTAATTCTAAGCATAAACGGTCGGTCTCGTAAAAATATTTTATACATCCGGTCCAAAAAACCACGTTTAGGCTGCCCACTTCTATGAAAGTAAAAAATTGAAATAATGTGGACTAAATTTTTATTTATATACTAATTGAAAAACTATAAAAACATATAAAAATAGGAATTTGAACATCTTTTAATAAAAATATTTTATTTACATTAAATTGAATATAAACTAACTAATTTATTTATTAAAATCATTATATAGACACTACTTTATATTATAATATCGTGTCCTTTTTTCTACTAAAAGTTGTAAATGCTCAAACACATGGACAACCAGACCAAGACCCATACGCAAAACTGGCTCAGCAACGGTACAATAGGTTCAATGATGATGGTTCATGCGGGAAAGGCAGTTGCTACCCCGCCACAGGCGATTTGCTCATTGGCCGAGAGAACCAACTCTCTTCCACTTCCACTTGCGGTGCCAATCAGAGATCAAGGTTTTGTTGTATAATATATTCGTATTCCTCTTGCATTCATTTGATAATCGAACTCCGTTACTCGATATATTACTTGCTTAGACATTACTTTGCAGAAATAATTTTTTATATCATTATATTAATTGTGACCTATGTTGCCTGAAAGCAATTATATTAATTTTTATTACCTTTTATATGGGTTATATTTTAAAATACAGTTCTTAACATCTAATATCAACATGTTTAGAATATTTTAGATAAATATCTTTTACGAAGAAATAATTACTTTTCGAAATTAATGAATTTATTATAAAGAAATTTATATATAAATGCTAGATATTGTATAGTCAGTCACTTGGAAGACGATAAAAAGTGTTTTTATTGCGATTCTCGAAGGCCATATCATCCTGTTTATAATCCTATAAGCCATAGGATTCAAAACGTTATCTCTTCCGCGCCTAACCCTGAACTCAGGAAAAAAGCCTGGTGGCAAGCCGAAAATGGTTATTTTCTTTAACCCTACAATAATTAACTAATTTTATTATAGTGTTGCGGAACTAGTTCAGTTTCCTCAATTTTATTTATCAAATTCATTAAAGTCCTTTTTATCTTATTTAAAAATTATGCCCAGGTGTAGAAAACGCCTCCATTCGTCTAGACATGGAAGCCGAATTTCATTTTACTCATTTGATAATGACCTTCAAGACTTTCCGGCCAGCTGCTATGCTGGTCGAAAAATCTTCCGATTTTGGTAAAACCTGGAAAGTCGTGCGATATTTCGCCTATGATTGCCGGTCCTCCTTTCCCGGAGTAAGCTTGGGCCCTTTAAAAAAGGTATCAGATATCGTGTGCATCAGTAGATATTCCAACGTGGCTCCTTCGACCGCGGGGGAGGTTTACATATTATAATTTATTAGTTTATTATTATTTATTAAAAACCAAGTTTTTTTTTATATTAGTGCCTAATTTGAAACTACTTTTTAAAGAAACCGAAACCAGAACCTTTTTAGTCCAGATTTAAAACTTTGCTTATACATGTAATATATTTTTTTAAAAAAAATATTAAGTAATTGTAATGAAAGTTTCTAAATTATATTTTTATATATTGTTTAAAAATTCTATATCATTTTAACAATATATTATGATTCATATTTTTAATAAAGTGGATTTCTTTGTAAGTATCACAAAAATTCATCGTTTATATATTTTTTTTAAAAATTGTTATTTTTCTGATTACAACATTGTTATACATAACGTTATGTTGATAGGTGCATTTTTCAAATTATAAATGAACTAAACTCTCATATTAGTAGGGCTATGACGATATTAACTATCGGATCGAATCTGCACCGATATTTAGCGTTTTCAAAAATATCGGATTGGGTCGATATCTGTAAAAAACAGAGCTATCTTTTTACTTTTTTGTTATTTTAGTTATATATATTTATATAGTTTATTTTACGTTATTATAATATTTCAAAAGATTTTTTATTTATTTTTATAAAAATTGAAAGATTCTAAATATTATTTTAAAAAATTTTTAATTTATTTTTAAAGCAATGGAAACCCCCTAAATTTTATTTATTCAAATTGAAAATCAAAGAGAAGCTAATTACAAATAATATAATTGAAATCGATAGTAATGTATATGACCTGCCAAATCTGAAAGAAGTCAAGGAATATTTAAAAGAATCTTTATATCTAGATGGTGTAATAACATATTTTTCATTTCATATCTTATTTAGTATTTCTTGGTTAGGTTATGATTGACTCATTTATTTGGGTCATATCTAATTTTTCAAACCCAAAGGTTGGGTTTGTATGAAACCTAATATTTTAAAAACGCTAATTTTATGTGTATATTTAGATAACTCTAGTAACATTGATATTGTATTATATCCCCTGTGGATCCACTTGACTCTTGAAGAATTAATGCTGAGAAGTATCCAACTTTGTCAAAACTTACAGTTAAATTTTTGGCGCCTCCTGCAACAAGTGTCTTGCCTAAATCTGTCTTTAGTGCAGGAGGGGATATAGATAGTCAACATCGTAGAGGCTTATTGCCAGAAAATCTAGGGGCTCTCATATTCATTTTAAAAAACTAATATATTATAATTTTATATAATAAATATTACAATTTTATATTCTAAATATTGCAATTTTATAATTCATACCAACATATATATTATTCAATATAAAATGAATACATTATTAAATATAAAATAAAATTAAAAAACATAATTCGATTTTTTGCATAGAAAATGGATTTTTTAATTACATTTGGTTCAAGGGGGGAGGGAGTAGTAAAAAATCAATATAAATATTGGATCGGGATCGGCAATGGATCAGGTTTGAACAAATATCGCATCAGATCGTAAAAAATATATGAATCGGCATAGCCCTACATATGAGACATGCTGCCCATTTATAAGTTTTACATACAAAAGTTTAGTTATTATAATTATTTTTACAAGGTAACACAAATTTACATTAGTTTTTCTTTATTTACTCAATTTAAAATTAATATAATTATAATTATAGGCTTGTTAATTTTTGTATATTATGGTCAAACAAAAAATATAAATATACAAATAAGAAAAAATTGTCTTATAAAAATACAAATAAAACATCCAAAAAGGTTATACACAGGGCCAGACCTCCTTACATAGATCTCATCAATCCGTACGGTCAAGATGTACAAGAATTGCTCAAAATGACGAATCTCAGAATTAATTTTACGCGGCTTCATACACTGGGTGATAACCTGCTGGATAATAGGGAAGAAGTACGGGAAAAGTACTATTATGCACTCTACGATATGGTAGTCAGAGGCAGTTGCAGTTGTTACGGACACGCATCCAGGTGTATACCATTAACCGGCCAAGCCCAAATACCTAACATGGTAAAATTAATTCTATTTTTACTTTTTACACCCACCATAGTCATTTTTTAGTTCGCCCAAAAAGCTCTTAAATTTATTCTGAATTTTTTTGATGATAATTATCTTTGTGAATGAACTTTTTTGCGAGTGATAGTGAATAAGTGAAGCCATATAAATATTCATTTATAAAATGATTTTTTCTTTAGGTTTATGGACGATGCGAGTGCAATCATTACACTAAAGGCTTGAATTGTGAGCATTGCGAAGATTTTCACAACGACGTCCCCTGGAAGCCCGCTCACGGCACTGAGACCAACGCTTGCAAGAGTTTTTATAATTTTTTTATATCAAAATTTAAATTTTTGGCCCCGCCTGGGTTTTATATTTTCTGGCCTGGCCCAGATTTAATTTTCATAGATAATAATGGTGATTTTCAATATTTGGTTAAAATATTCAGGTCCGGCCCAGCCCGGGTATATTTAAGCCAGACCCGTGTACGCCTGCAGGTCTCTAAAAAATCATTATTTGCTGATAATAAATCTGACAAAGGATATTGTCTTAGGGAGTTTTGGCAAATATTTTAAACTTAGATCATTTATAACTAGGTGTTCTTTAATTCTGAAATAATTAATTATGTCCAAACATTACTACCCTGTAAATATCAGACAATTTTTCCATAAACATTTAAGTTATCCTTAGTTTATAATAATGTTTATATTTAATTTTTCATATAAATTTTTTTTATATGATGAATCTGAAATTAATAGGGTAGTTATTCAATAACATACTGGAATACGATTCCGGTAACATCCGGTCTGTTAAAAATAAAATAAAATCCTGGTGAATTTGGTAGACTCCTACTACAATATATATGTATGGTAAATTTATCTGGAGGAAACTCAATTCTAAACATTGAGTTCCAGGAATGATTTCCAGTATTTATAACCCTATTAATTTCAAACAATTTCCTCATATGTTTTTATATTTTTTTAAAATTTATATGAAAAATTGATAATTTAAAAATTAATAGCAGTTCAAATGTTTATGGCAAAATTCTACGAAATTAACAAGGTAGGTTAAAACTAGTGATGTTAAAAAGTCCGATTCGGGTCGATTTAAAAAAACGACCCGATTAAGATTATAACTAAAATAACATTATGCAAGTTTAAAGATTTTGCTCATAGCTGGCAGAAATGCGTGGACATCTATTTGCCAAATCTCGATGTTTACATAATATTATTTTATCTAAAATCTTAATCGGGCCATTTTGAAAAACTGACCCAAATCGGGCTTTTTAACAACATTATTAGATACTATAATAGATGTTAGTATACAATTTTTAGTAAAAAAGCAATTCTCCAATTCAAAAAACCACTCTCTATAAATGGTTTAGAAGGAGATTTCGAATCGCCACCGAAGGATTCCTGATTAGTCCTTATTCTAACCTTTTTTCAATCCAGCAAGAAATTAAAACAATAAGAGCGGGAAACATTTAAAAAAATAAATCAAAAAATTTTGCTTTTGAGTCGCGTCTGTAGCCCAGTCGATGAGGGCACATATCATCTACCATCTAGATCTGGGTTCGAATATGTACCATGTTTTTTTGCCACAGTAATGATAATTTTTAAAAATAAACAAATTTGACGAAATCTCAAGGATGCGAATGCAATTTACATGCGGACCGTTGCCATTTCGATTCGGGCGTATACGAACAGTCGGGTTACGTAAGTGGGGGCATTTGTGATGAATGCGCGCACAATACAATGGGGAACAAATGCGAACAATGCAAACCTGGATACTTCAGGGTTCCTAATCTGCCTCTCAATAGGACCGATATATGTAGAGGTTAACATTCATTCGTTATATTATTTATATAACCAGGAAATTGTAAGGAAAGAAATGGGGGAAAAATAAATCTTAAACAAAAAATGATTTAATAATAAAACGAAATGACAATATTTTTTAAAATTTTTCCTAGCTTTAAAAGAAAGAAAGAAGTCGCACGCATAAATAAGAGCATTTCGAAATGAGAAAATAAATAAATAAGGAAATCTTAAGTTCCATGATTGATACAAATGCTTAATAACATTAGCATGTCAATGCGATAAACATGGTTCACTCAACGAAGGTCAATGCGATTCGACCGAGGACACGGCTCTTGAGCTTGTGGCCGGCAGATGCCATTGTAAACGCTTTGTGCAGGGTCCAGCCTGTGATACCTGCAAAGACGGTTATTGGAAGCTGCACGCTGATAACCCGGAAGGATGTGAAGGTATATAATCAATATTCTCATTTTCATATTTTTTAAAATGTTTTTGCCTACCTCATATGACAAAGAAAATGTAGATTGATTACGAATTTCCTAATGGTCATTTAGCGTAAGCAACGATTTATCACTTTTTTCCTTTATCACTATATTGCTGATTTTTATATAAATTATTAATGACTCAAAGATTAACTGCGAAATTGTCTACAATTCATAAGATAGGAATTTTCGGTAAAATAGGATTTTTAAATTTAAAAAAACGCTCTCAAAAAATGAATCAAAGGTGAAAAAATAACACATTGCCGTCTGAAAATAAAATTTAATTAATCTTTAATAATAAAATTTAAAAAATGAAAATTACCTGATATTTTTAAAAAATATAACAAATAACGAATGATGAAATAAAATATTTTGAATTTTATATTTTTGGGGAAGGGGGGGGGGTTTGTATTTAGTGTCTTTTTTTTTAAAAAAAGTGCCAGCTCGATGAACAATATGAAATTTACTAATATTTTTATTTTTTACCCCTCATTCATAGTTGACTCGAGTTCGCGGCGAATTATATAAATACCCTCTATATTTATATTATCCGCCGTGAATTCGCGCTAACTGTGAATGGGGGGTTATCCTGAATCCACATTTAGCACAAATTCACGGCTAAATATACAAAATATGCTGTATTTTTGTGTATTTTTATATGCTTCGCCGCGAATTCGCTCTAAATATGAATGCATGGTTAGAAAAACGAAAAAGTACTAAAAATAAATAAATACAGTCAGAAAAAATCAAATATGACTACCTTAATTTTCTCATGCCACATAATTTTAGATTTAAAAAAAATGATTTTTTAGAACCTATAGTGAAATTATTGTAAAAAACTTCTAATTAGTTATTTCAGAATTACGCAGAAACGTGATTTTTAAAATATTTCATAAAGTTATTGAATTAGTTATGACCCTTTTCTAGAGTGCCCACAATTAACTGGAACTTAGTTGGTAATGAGTCTCTGTCGTAATTTTATTTCATATTTATGCTATATTTATATTAGTACCTTATTTATCTGAATATTAAATATCAATTTTTAGGGTATGCCTATCCATAAATTTTTCACCGTTCATATCCTATATTTCGGTATTCTTGTTAAATCGTACCGATATGTAGATTTTTATTTACCAACAATTGAATCAATGTCAGTAAAGTCAATATTTTTTATACAAAAAAATACCTAACTATAAACTATGGGCTAAACGGAAATTGTTGAAATCTTCCTTTTCTCATGGCCAAGGTGATAATTGATGCATCATCACGAATGGAATGATTAAGAGTATTTTATTTTTTTATTCCTCGAAAGTTAATCATATTTAAAATATGGGTGATGCTTATGGCTGAATTTAAATGTTAAAATTTCTCATATCGGTATACGGCCCCGATCGGACAGCTTCCATTTTGTATAACGCGTGATTGTTTTGGATATATATAGATGTATATGTGTGTTCGTAATCGTATATTTATTAATATACATTTTTTTTATATCTAGCTTTGTATTTGTACAATGCTTTTTTAAACTATCTCTTAGTAATTTCTTATATAATTTCAATAGGGTTCATATGCAAAAAATTCACGCCCTTTAACAATATCATATTTTGATGATCTGTCACTGACAGCTTTTTAGAGGCCTATCCGATTTTTTTTATAAAAAAAAAATGTCTATCATACATATAAAGTAAATGGGCTAAACAATTTTAATTATAAGGTTAATGTGTAATAAATACTTTTTAACTGAAATATAGTAATCGCCAAAATAGCGATATCGACCGATGACCAACTATATTCCTAAAAAAGTATAATTCGACCCATCCCATATTTAAAATCGGTACATCCCCAATAAAAAAATAGAATATATAGATGCCGTTATGCAAATTAAAAACAATATTTTATTAAATAAAAAATAAACTCGAAGTTTTTTCCCTCACATGTGATAGTCCAATACCTTGAGATTATCTAGGGTGCGGTGAATGTTCTGGATTTTAAAATATAAAAAAATGAAATGAAAAATAAGTTATTTATTTAATGACTGGATACCACATTAGAAACTCTTAACAAATTTCAATTTATGTTTGGAAACACTTCGGCAAAATGCCCACTTTTTTGTAACGACACAACTAGCTTTCCCTATCAATTTAAAAAATAATGAATTTGCGATTATTCTGAAAATTTGGACCGATTCTTATCAGATAATCAATCAAATCGTCGCATATTAAAAAACAAATCAGGACATGTAAATTATTTAATTATATCCGAAACACTGAAGCTTGATTATGCAGCTCGTCTTTTTAAGTTAAAAATATTTTATTTTTCCGATGAATCCAAGGCAGGATTTTTTTATTAATGACATTTTTCTTCAACCTTCTAGAGGGATCCGCAAAATCCAAACTAAAAAACTTACTTCTCAACGAATTTTAACTATACAACTTTAGGTAAAAAATGTATTTGTCTTATGTCCACAATAATGATTATGAGAAAATGAAATTAAGCTGCATGATAGATTTTATTTCAATTGGATGATATTAATGTTAAATAAAAGTGAAATGGCAGAGGTGAAGATTTAAATTATCCACCAACATGGACCCTCTTCAGCTTTAAATATACTGAAGAGAATTAGACTGGTCATATACGATTGCATCTGAATGACATTTTGAAAACTACATCAAAAATGGAACAAGATTCAAAATAATTCGCTCAAGTATTTCTAACATCTAGTAGGTCCCTACAAATCAGTTCAAATTTCCACCCGGGCCTTAAATTTAAAAAAATTATATAATGCCATCTATTTTGATAGAATTTTTTTTAAATGAAAAGACTCTTTATCACAGAATTTAGAACTCTACCCAGAACTATTAGAACTAGATCATAAATGGGCAGAATTTTAATTGAAAGTCCTCGAAACACTATCGATTTTACTGGGATCGACTCTTTCATTACTCGAAAGTGCGATGTTTAATTGCCCAATCAAGTTTTTTCCTTAGTGCTATTAATAGTTGTTTCTTGAACAGGGTAGAATATTAGACAAAGTATTAATCGAAAATATTTACCCTTTTATTATGAATTTTTCTATTAAATTTACAAGTTTTTCGAGCACCGAATTCTACTTATTAGGGATATCTTCTAGTATCCTATCTCTTCTCTTATTCTTTTAAACTAGAACAAATCGATTTCATCAGTTTTTACTTTTCTAGATAATATTATTCTCTTTGATCCTCGAATAATATATTGAAATGAATTTTAAGTCAGCAGAGACTTTTCTTTGCCACTTCCATTTAATATGCAACAATAACTTCTAATTAAAAACTGAATCGATATATTAAATGAATATTTTATTATTATTTAAAATGATATTATAAATAGCAAACCATATTTAAAAACAAAAGATCAGCCTCGATTACCGTTATATTATTAGATTTCAAGTGGTTTTTATTGAATTACGTCCTATTTTTTATAATTATGAAATAGCTAGAAAAAATAAATATTTTGAAGTTTTTTTATTATGCGTAAAAGATAAGAAAATTCATTAAAAAAATATTAAGTTCCATTTGTCATTTTAATTTTCAAAAATTATGTGCCACGCACGAGTAATTTGAGGCAAAGGATTTATACTGGAGTGATTAATAAGAGATAAATTTTTTTTTATTTAAATAAATAGCATGTACATGTCTCATTATTGGAACGGTAAACAATTTGGGATGTGATAAAAGTACGGGCGAATGCCACTGCAAAGCTCACGTGACTGGAAAAGATTGTGAATCCTGCTTGGTAATACTAGATAGTGTATTTTTTAAAAGAATAATGTTAAATTATATACTTGAAAAACAATTTTATTAAATATGTAATAACTTGAAATTTTGAACGATTACACTATTTACCCCCCCCCCCCCCTCCACCACAACAGCCAGGATATTACGGGCTCAGTCGAGACTCGCCGGAAGGTTGTGAACCATGTGACTGCGATGCGGGGGGCTCAACCGTTTCGACTTGTCAACAAAGAGATGGTCAGTGCTCTTGCAAAGCTGGGGTGGTTGGAAGACGTTGCGATTCGACTCCGCCCGGTTTATATTGTATGGAATTGGATTCGCTTACACTTCAAGGGGAGAGTGTGTCTACGAATTTGAATCAAGTAAACTTATATATTTTTTAAAAGATAGAATGAAGGAAAAAACAATATTTCTGAAATCCATCAATGTAAAAAGATAAAATATTTAGCCCACTTCCAAACCTTTTTCAAAAACAGTTTCCTGGGCATGTTTCCATAAATTTTTATTTATTATTTTCAAAAGAAGGAATAATAATGTCGAATAAATTATTTTGAATAATATAAATTTCCTACCATTTTGATTTTTCATTTACGATTAAATAGCATCTGAGATGCACCTATCCTTGAAACATGCTTCTTTTTTTAAAAAATGTGAAGAAAATTTTTTTATCTGACATATTATTTTAAAATGCTTGGAAATAAAAGAAATTGCTGAAAATATGACTAAACACCGTGTAAAAAAAGATTTGTCTGGAAGTAGTCTATAAGTCATAAGATTTATTTAAAAGAAACGAATTGATAAAAAGAAATATAGAATAAATGAAAATTTACATTATTTTTCATGATTTTCTATTTTTTAAATGTATTTTCTTAAAGTACACCACCGTTATAAAACGCGAACGCGATAGTGAATCTATAATAACATGGACCGGAGAAGGATTTGTTCGAGTCAGGGAAGGTGGCTCATTGACTTTTGTTATTAATGATATTATAGCTCAGCCCATGAGTTACCAATTGATCATCAGATACGAATTGCCGGTTATAATAAAAAAAAATCTTTATTTTTGTAAAACCTCCAAAGGTTGGTATTTTTTTAGCCTCCTATAGGAATATAATTTAAACTTCGGTAAAACTGTAGAGATAGCTAATATATGGAACATTTTTTGATAAATGTTTTTATAGAATTTTGGCGAGAAAAAACTTTAAATAAACATAATTTTATAGATCGATATTTAAGTCTTAGAAAATTAAATATTTATCTTATATACAACAGATGGATAAGGATTGGGAAGAGGTGGTAGTTACTTTGGAAGAACATCCCTTAGCTTCCTTCATATACAATACGGTGCAATATGCTAGACAGCAACATTCGGGCATTGATAACAAATTAGAAGAAAATTATTGCTCAGAATTTTCGCAACCTTCTGTTCAAGTTACTTTCCTGCAGAAAAGTGAGTATTTGTGCTAATTTACAATTATAAAATCACTAATCTCCGGAGGAGTTAATTAATGTTGACCTTAAAATTGATTTTAAATATTCCCCAACATCAAAATCTATTAATATAATTCTTGAAAAATTTATTTTATTATTTATTTATTCAAATAAAAATTCGAAGATGTTAGATACGCGGTATTAGCTCTACCTTATTGTCTTCAAAGCAATTTTGAATATGTGGTCAAATTAGAGTTTACACATTTTACGACATCTGCAACGCCAGAGGCTCACGTTTTGATTGATTCGGTAATAACATATAATAAATAGAGGTGTACCGATATCACTTTTTGGAATCCGATATTCCCGATATTAAATTGATATCGGCCGATTACCGATCCGATATCAAATCTAATTTTGTATTTTGTAAAGATACCAATGGTTTTAATTTTTAATATACTTTTTATTAGTATAACATCTATAATTTAATTATACCATAAACTTATGTCATTTAAATATTTTATAATGATCAGTTATAGTTTATATTTAATTCAATTGCAATTCTAAAAGTATATAAAATATTTTTATTGTTAAATTATTTTTATATAATAAGTAATAACATTAATCTATATATAAAATAAGTATAAACAAATATATTATGAAATTTGAAATAAATATTTAACCTTAATATATCGAAGGTTTCTTTTTAGAAATACTAAAATTTCCAATTTATTAGAGGTCAGTCTGCGCCGATGGTAACTGTCAATATCATCAGCTTCACTAAAAACAGATTCTGAAGAGATTATCGTACAATTTTATAAACAGAATGCGCAAAAAAATAACAATATGGCAGAATGTTTATTAATTAATTATTAAAAAAATAAATATAAAATGGATTTCGATTTTATTTATAAAAATAAATTATTTTAGATATAACTTTTTTTAAAAATTTTACAACATTTTTTTTTGTTAAAACGCCATTTTTTATCGGATCGGAAAATTTTATAATATTAGCCGATAACCGATATTTTAAAATGAGTGAAATATCTTCCCGATCCGATAAAAAATATTGGTATATCCCTAATAATAAATATTCATTATTTTACCTATTTAATTAAATTTTATAAAATGATTTTTTAATATTTAATATGGGATTTTATAATAAGAAAAATTAGTTTTTAAAGAAACAAAAGTATTATCTCTGGTCCCAGTAATCTTATAATTTTTAGATGTATTGTAAAATTTATAAAATCACAACATTGTCTAGAAATGTAATACCCTATTATTTAATCAAACCAGATTTTATATTTTAACTAAAAAAGATTATCCAATTTTATAAATTTTAAAATAACAAATGCAATATATAAAAATAAAAGTAGTAGGTTTAAAGATAATTATTATATTTTACCAAACAAAATAAAAACTATTTTAAGATAACTTTCCTTCCTACTCTGGAATCGATCCCTCTCTTCAGATCGCCCCAAGTCACTAATCGTTCTTCAACAATAAGTCCCGGACTTGAAACACTTAGAACTGATTACGAAAGATACAGGTGCAGGGACGCTTATATTACCATAGCGGATCAGGCGCTCAGAGAGAAGCATTTGCCAGAACCTTGCAAAAAATATCGTTGTAGCTTAGCACTTTCTATGCACGGGAGAGGAAAAGGTTTTTTCTCCAATATATTTAGATATAATCATTTATAAATTTATAAAAAAATTTAAATAATGATGAGATGCCATATTGAACTATGCATTTTTTGCATCATGATACTCGAAAAGGCACCAGGGGCCATCTGAATTTACAAAAAATTAAATGTTGAAAAAACCTTCATACTTATTTTAAACCATTTTGTTATTATAATGTTACACAAAATGAATCTAGATTGTCATTGTGACCCCACCGGTTCTGTCAGCTCGGTGTGCGATATTTCAGGTGGTCAATGTAGATGCAAACCCAATGTGATTAGTCGGCGTTGTGACGCTTGCGCTCCTGGGACTTACGGATTCGGACCTGCTGGATGTACTTGTAAGTTTAGTTTGCTTTTCTTTGAATTGTTTTTTTTATATAGCTTTTTAATATTTTATAAAGAGTTTTTTCGATTTCTTTAATACTGCACCGATGCAAGCTAAATGACTAATGTTACACTTTTTAATGGTTATTTTGAGAATTATGCATTTGAAAATAAGCCTTATTTTGCCCTCTAATCTTAACTTAATTATTATTTTTATGTTAATCCTATATATTATATTTTTTTCCCGTGAATTGATCTTTGCATTATTTTAGTGATACTTAAGGATTGCGATCACCATTCTAGTCAAGTATCTATCATTCTATGTTTACATTTTTTAAACTAATTAAATCATTCAGAAAATGTAATAAAATACTCTTATTTTTAGCTTGCAACTGCGATGGTCGGGGTTCGTTGGACCCTATTTGCGACAGTTCAAGCGGTCAATGTAAATGCATACCTGGGGTTATAGGAACTCATTGTGATTCGTGTCAAGCCGGCAATTGGAAATTTCCTAACTGTGAACCCTGTCGGTGCAATGGGCACGCCGAAGAGTGCGATATCAACACGGGAGACTGCAGTGGTAAATGTAGGGACAGCACAGATGGACCCCACTGTGAAAGGTTTATTTGATTATAGTTTATCTATAACTATAATAAAAAAACTGTATTATTGGTTGACACAATTTAACCCAATAATGTTAATTATATTAAAGTATGGTATAGGATAGGCAATGGATTAATGTTAAAATATAGTGATCACAATTGCTAGTTTGCTGTTATTTATAAAATGTTTTTTTTTTTAAATAATAAATGTTCCCCGTCTTTATACACTAAAATTGTAATAATTCATTCACATATACTTTATTATTTTTATACTTGTCTACCAAAAGATTTTATTTTGAAGCAATAATGAATAATTATTTTGAACTAAGATTAATTTAAATTAAATTTTAAATGCCATAAATTATCTGATAGTAATAATTATTTATTCATGAAAAATATCGTATTATAAAAATTTAATTTATTTTAAGACGTGCATAAATATGTAAACGTCAATCATAGACATGATGGAGCATGTATTCTAATATCCACTGCGAAATTTGTTTACCAACAGACTTATATATTTTTTTCAAACACCTATTTCAGATTAGTAAATTTTTTTAGTATCTTTTTGCAAAATTTTTATTTTCTAACTAAGTTTTAAAAAACCTTTTTTTGAGAAATTTCGGCAGTTTTAATATGTTTCGCTAATCAGACTTATACTAATATTTAGGTAAAATTAGTAACTTTATATTTAAAACAAAAAGAATGATAAACTCATTTATTAAAAAAACGCGTTTATATTATAATATTTTTATATATTAAAGTGTAATTATTTACTAATATTGTTTTAAATTTTATAGGGCTTTTATATTTCCTACTTTTAATTGCACAAATAAAATCAGATGTGCCCCTTACTTTTACGGAGATCCTCGCATTCAAGTCAACATCCCTTGTCGGCCTTGCATGTGTCCTGGCCTGGCTAGTGACAATCAGTTTGCCGATTCGTGCTACCTAGACCCTGGAACCCGAGAAATGGTATGCAGGTGCAAACTTGGTTATTCGGGTATATATCAAAAATTATATATTTGTTTTGTTTTTGCATTTATTTCTAATACATAATTTACATTCGTCGATTGTTTCTAAAATAATTTTTTTTATATAAACGAGTTTATCATACCCTTTTAATAGAAATTAGAAATGTTTTTAAATTCATTTTTATGAAGTTTTATTATAATAAATAGCATTAACGTTGAACAATTTTCAAAAAATCAAATACGAGGGTATGCAGCATAGTCGAGTCTCTTATAAAAATCAAAAATATCACTGCCTTCTAAAATTAGAAACCATTTTCGTTTGTAGTCGTTTTTTTAAAAAAATAATGAATATAAAATAATTTTTTTAAAGAAACTATTATGGATAAAAATATTTTTGTTTTACTAACGATATTCCTCTAAAAATTTCATATAATTAATTGCATCGACTCAATCTCTCTGATTTTATAAAAATTAAATTAAGGCAAACGATGTGAAAAATGTTCACCCAACCATTACGGTCGCCCTACCCTACCTGGTGGAGCTTGTAGGCCCTGCTTTTGCAATGGGAACACTGATCCAGCTTCCATAACTCTGGGTAATTCTTGCAATTCTGATACTGGAGAGTGCACCAACTGCGGCTTCAACACACACGGCTTCAACTGTGAACAGTGCGGGGAGGGCTTCTACGGGGACGCCTTAAAACAGAGCTGCGTGGGTGAGTAAGATAAACTAAAACCAAACATTTCATTTAAAAAAATTAAACCAAAAACAAAATTGCGTTTCTTATTTTTGATTTTCTCAGACCTGGAGCTTGCATAAATTTTTAGACCATAATTCACATTTTTATTAAATTAATTTTTATCTTCCATCCATAAAAAAGCTTGCGTTTGTAACCCCTTAGGCACCGATACTTTCCTGATCTCTTCGTCCATTCCTTCACACAATTTTAATATCTCTTCCTCCTCTAAATCGAAGTCACTTCAAAATTACGTGTGCGATAAGTTGAGTGGTCAATGTCCTTGCCTGCCTAATGTCATAGGTCTCTCGTGTGACGCATGTCTTCCAGCTTTTTGGAATATAGCTAGTGGTAAAGGATGTCAGGCCTGCGATTGTTGCAAAGAGAGTAGCAACACCGATCAATGCAATTTGGTTAATTTATTATACATATATGTACTAAATTATAGAATTTAAATCTTTATGAGCATCATTAATATTTTTTAATAGAATATTATAATAATTAAACTTAAATAGGCAATGCAACTAAACATTTACCTGTTGACTTACTTTCGTTTTAATTGTTAGTTCTTATTTGTAAATCGTTTATGGTTGCTGGTTGCATTATTGTATATAGTATGATTAAAGATTACTTAAACTTTCTATATTTTGATAGTAAGTTTATAGAGTTATGTTTAAATTTAACGAAAGACCGATGGTTTTAACATTTTTGTAAAAATGTGGGAAATCCACAGTATATGATAAAAGAATGTCTGCTCCAGGTTTTAGCGATAAATTTTGGTTATAATATTGACTGCATTTATTAACTGTAACACAGGCAATGTAGAAAGTATGTTTAATTCTCTTATCAAATAAATGATTGGATTATTTAAAACTTTCTATATTATTATGGTAAGCATATAGTTTAAATTTAACGAAATTTGTTAGACCGATGGTTTTAACATTTTTGTTAAAATGTGGGGAAGCCACAGTATATCATAAAAGAATGTCTGCTTCAGGTTTTAGCGATAAATTTTGGATATAATATTGACTGCATTTATTAACAGTAATACAGGCAATGCAGAAAGTATGTTTTATTCTCTAATCAAATAATATATATAAAAGATAGGTTTAAAGAATATGCTTTAGCTTCCTGGATGCTGCCATATCAATTATATCATTATTTTTTATTCATATTTATTACTAATTTGCTATTCAGTGGTAGACTGACCATAAGACCAAGTGGACTTTTTTCCCACAAGGTCGCGAAGAAATGTTGATATTTGAGGCCACTAGAAGAAAATAATGTTCATAATTTCAATTAGTGATCTGCATCGGGCCTAATTTTTCAAGCCCGGCTCGGCCCGAATTTTTTTTAAAAAAGTTTTGCTGGCCCGAATCCAAAAATTTTTTTAAGACAATTTACTGGCCCGGCCCGAATTTATTTAAATATAGAAATTAATTTTTAGTCTAGTTCTATAAATAAAATCAAATATTTTTATTTTACATAAAAAATTCAATATAAAATGGATAAATTTAAATATATTGTAAAAATTTCCAAGGCCCGACCCAACCCGAATTTTATTTAAAATATTAGACCCGACGCAAACCCGATTTTTTTAAAAAAGAATTAGGCCCGAGGGCCTATTTTTGCAGATCTCTAATTTAAATATCTTTTATCATATAAGTCTTTTCTCTTATCTTATTCATTTTTTATATATTATATTATAACATAAATTTCCTAGATGAGTATCATTTAGTTATGTTTTTTTTGTTTTTTACAAAAAAAATCCGTTTCCGTTTGAATGAAAGTTTTCATTTATCTTTATTATTGTAAATCTTGTGCTCATTGGAATTAAATAAAACTTTAGGTACAATAACTAAAATGAATGAATAATTTAATCAACTTGGCATAGGCCTTTTATTTATACTAATAAAATATTAATTCACTGGTAAGCTTAGCACCTTCGAAAGAAAGAAGGAGGTGACTATTTAAAAAGCTAAAAAGAGTTGATTAAAAAAAAAATTTTTTGAAATAATGGGAGCAATTTTATATTTTCAAGAAATTAAGATATTTTATCAACTTGAAGAATCATTGAAGTTGCATAATATTCACAATCCATTTATAATAATTCTATAAATGGCTAGAAATTTAAATGTAAAGATCTATAATTCAAAGCTGCCAGATTGCCTCTAGATACAAAATGAAATGACAAAAATATAATAAATCGAACAAGCAACATACACAGCAACGAATGCAACAATGACTCTCGCATGATTCGATTTGCTCTTAGGATTAAATTATTTTACCCTATAATTATTCAAATTATAAAAAGTTTGACTGAACTTTATTCGGCGAATACGAGTTTATAACGAATGTGCAATATTTGAATCCGAGGCATTTTGATGAAATAAATATCAAAAGTAATTTGAAAAGGCCTTGGTGAAAGTTTTACAATTGACGAATATATCTAATTTAAAATTACAACAGGAATTATTTCCATTTATCTATATTTGCAAAAATTTAATAGTCGGAGTAGGTTAAATACAAATTATGATACTATTTTTAGTAGTGAAGATTGTGAAGTCTTATAATGAAAATATTGCATAGATAATTGCAATAACTTCAAGTGCAATACAAAGTGTAATCAATACTAAACATACTCTCAATAAGATTCTTCAGCACCTTATTATTCCCATAAGACCACAACTACACAATACTAGTATTTTTCTCTTTATTAAAAATATATGCAATATAATTGTAACTCATTGTTAGGACAAGGTTTTGATCCAAAGTAAAAAACCATGCATAGAAAATAAATCTAGGGAACCCACTTTTGCCAAAAATGGGATTATTGGGGGGGGGGGCTATTCCCACAAAAATGAGGCCGCTAGAAAAAACAAGGCGCATCACCTGTTCACCCCTGTAGCTACTTATTCAATTTTATTATAAACTTTTTATATTTTGTTAATAAAACATTCTTTATGTTCTTTGCAATCTAAGAATATATTAGAGAGAATGGCTTAATAATGATTACATCAAACATAATTATTAATAATCTTTATAAAAAAAATTCTAAACTCAAACATATTTTCTTAAATTATTATTAATATTTACAATACTATCTATTAGAGATCTGCAAAAGTAGGCCTGGCCCGAAGAAAATTCGGGCCAGGCCGGGTAAATTTTTTTTAAAATATATCTAAATTTATCAATTTTATGTTGAATTTTTTATGTAAAATAAAAATATGTGATTTTATATATAGAAAATAGACGCCATATAACATATATCGTTTATTTTGAGTAATTATAAGAATTAATTTCTATATTTATATAAATTCGGGCCGGGCCGGCAAAATTTTTTAAAAAAACTTCGGGTTCGGACCGGACCGGGCAAAACTTTATAAAAAAAATTCCGGGTCGGGCCAGGCTTGAATTAGGCTCGATGCAGATCACTACTATCTATTATTAAAAAAAGTAAAGAATTTCTTACAGCTCACTCAAAGTCACCATATTTATCTTTACTCATACATACCTTGGGCTAAAAATTTAATGAGGTAGAAGAGTTTGTAAGAAGTATATTTTTATTCTAACTCAATTTCAACCATGAATGGTGGAGTTAGAACCCTAATAATCAAGCGACTTTAGTGGATCAAAATTCAGAGTTTCTTTTTTTTAAAAATAATTTTTATATCATATAATCTATTTATCAGTTGGATGGCCAATGCAGATGTAAACCCGGGTTTGGAGGAAGAACTTGTTGTGACTGTGAAGACAACTTTTGGGGGGATCCTAAAGTTAAATGCTATTGTAAGTTGATATTATGACATTTTGAATTTATCACATTTAACATAAATCTTTATTTGAATAACTATAGAGTTTCAAAGGCGTAGAGTATTTTTATTTCAAATTATTGTTTATAGTGATTTATTGTATAAATTTATTAGGGATTATGGGGGGGGGGGTGTATAGATAATCAAGCAGATTTTCTCTACGTTTATGAAGTGTTTTAATTTATAAAAGAAATATGGTCATAAGAAAATACAAATTTAGGAATGACAAATTATTTTTACTTAACCCAAGATGCATATAAATTTTATAAAAATCTTAGGTCCTTAGCCATTTTTATCTTTTACCAAAATATATAAAGTGAATACAATTATCTCTTATTTAAAAAAAAATATGCAATCTGTTTAGCATGCCAATGCAATGATCAGGGCTCCACGAGTTATCAATGCGACAGAAAAACAGGGAAATGCTCTTGTCAGCCAGGTATGACGGGTGCTAAATGCGACATGTGCGATCGGGGCACGATTGGACAAGTACCTTATTGTAAATATTGCGGGCAGTGTTTTGGCGATTGGGATAGTGTTATCAAAGAACTTCTGAGTTAGTTATATTAAAAAAATTTCTTTTTAACTTTTTATTTTATTATATTTACTTTCTGTTCATTCTTTAAAATTTATTTTCTTTCTCCTTCCTTTAAAGATTTAAATTTGAAGAAATATATTCTTTAAAATAAGTATATGACTTAGGCCCGTTTACTTTACAATAAAAATAACGCGATGTTACTCAAGCGATGCATGGTTAACAAAAATAATGTAAAATTTTACAACTATGATATTATTTAGCGATAAATTTCTGCATCGCTTGTACGATATCAGGGCATTTCGCGCTTACTAACTAATGGATGATGCAGAGGCATTAATTTTGGTTTTTAAAAAAGTTAAGATATCGAAGTAATTATATTAAGAGTCCAGAGTGGTTTTCATCATATCGTTTGTTTATATCTTCTTATTTTTACTTTCAAGTTTATATATTTTAGCTTTTATAAAGATCAATCATTAATTTTATTTTGATTGAACGAGAAATGACGGAAATTAGTTTTCATTTTTTTTAAACTAAATTAATTTTCATAAATATTTTCATTTGAAAAAAATAGTTGAAACGGAATCACTTATGCTGAAGGCCTCACAGGTCAAAGATGAGGGTGTGGTGTCGACTTACACATCAACCTTTACTGCGATGGAAAACAAGATTAGGGACATAGAGACAATGTTGAAGGAAGCGAATGTTACTACCTCGGATCTCAACATCATATCGGTCAAAATAGAGGAGTTGAGGTTTGAAAAGGCTTTTCTTTTAAAACCTATTTTTGTTTTAAAGTGTAATTTTTCAGAAGCCTCCCCCTCTTTCATTTTTAACAAGGAACTAGCACAGTCCAATCCGACTTTAGGGGGTGGGCCAGAATTTCGTAGATCAGTACGCGACTTCTTTATTTTTTCTTGTATTATATTTTTTTAATTTATTATATTATAACTTCAGCATAATCTTTTTAAATTATCAATATTTTAATTTATTTTTTTGAAAAGGCAAAAATTGTCAGACAGATCTGACGACATAGACCAATTGATCAAAATAAACCACGATATATCCAAACAAATCGGCTCCTCCAGTGATAAGCTCAAAAACATTCAAAAATCGGCTCAAATTCTCAAAAATGAAACCAAGATTTTGGAGGAAAACACTACTAGAATACAGGAAGCCGATTTAGAAGGTACACTATTTTTATTAGTGATCTGCATCGGGTCTAATTTTTTAAGCCCAGCCCGAAATTTTTTTTAAAAAAGTTTTCCTGGCCCGAACCCGAATTTTTTTAGAAATTTTTGTCGGCCTGGCTTGAACCCGAATTTTTTTTATTCATCCCAAAGTAAAAATTATTTGTCCGCCCGATAGAAATGAATTTTTTTTAGCTTATAGTTTATTTTTTATATTTAACATTTTGTATTTTCTTAGTAGACACTAGACAGACAATTTATTTAGTATTTAATTATTTATTTTAAATAGTATCAAAAATACCTAAAAACAAACAAATAATAATTATAATGTAAAATTACACAACTATATATTAGATTCATTTAAAAATATCAAAGCATCAACATTTCAGACAGTCTATTTCTTCTAATAGCCTTCCAGTCTTTGAAAAAGTTCTCTCTGACGTTGTGGACGCTGCAGGAATAGCTAGAATTTTTCTAGCCAATTTCATCATCTTTGGTAATCTAATTTCATTGCTCCACCATTTTAATATATCTTTTTCTGGATCTATATTTTCTATATTCTCTTTTGTATTCAAATTCTTATAAATTTCAAGCTCATCTGTTTCTTTTTTTTTCAAATTTTTCCTCATTGTCCTCCCATCTTTCATATTCATTGTTTGATATATAAAAATAAGATAAATAGAACAATTTTAAATGTACCTTTAGATCTTTCCATAATTTGAGAAACGCCTTGTATATCCAAATCTATAATATCAATTGAAGGTTTACAATATTCTTCAGAATTAATTATATTTTTGACTGAATTTTCTACTTCTAATATTTCATTGATGATAACATTCTTAATTTTCTATATTTAGGGCATAAAAATGTCGCTATTTTATGCAAAATATCGATTTTAAATGATAATAAAAAAAAATTTTAAATTGGTTTTTATTTCATTATTTTGAAAAGTATCATTTAAATCCTCGTGAAGAATATTATTAAAGCATAGCAGTACTTTATATAAAGTAGAATTAATATCTCCTTCTAGTTCTTTAGTAGCTTTATCAAAAGGATGTAAAATATCAATCAAATTTTTTAAAATAGATTTCTCCAAGTTTTCCATTTTATTAATATCTCCCTTGGATGATAAAAAATTGACGATGTCATCATATTGGTTATAAATAGATTTCAACATATATAATTTCGAATTCCATCTTGTTTCGATATCTTGTAATGTTTTGTCTAAATATTGATTCATGCCGCTTTGTTTAAAATACATGGTTAATTTTTTAGCAGAAATAAGGGTTTGATATATATTAGAAGCGATAATTTTCAAAGATTGTTCCTTAAAGGTATTTCGAAGAACTGTATTAACAGATGTGTGCTACAATTTAATCTGGTGTATTTTTCTAGGGCTTTAATTATATTATCTCTTTGATCAGATAAATATTATATTTTTCACTTGATCGGGAAATATTCCAATTGCAGCAAAATTTTGTAGCATTTCCTTATGTATGTTCGCGGCGGTTCGGTTTTTTTTCTCTTCTTTAAACTTACTCGTAAATAAAACATGTTTATATAAGGTTTCACCTTCGATATAATGAATTGAACAGTTAAATAGGAAAACTTTTTAAAGGAATCTGTCCACATATCAGTGGTGGCAGAGCTCCGTCAAAACTATAGCATTTCTCGATAAAGTAGTTGGATGGGGAATAATTTCGCTACAGTCAATATTACTGTAAATGGAGCCAATTTGAATAAAATTTTGAGCCATTTTTATAAAGTCATCTCTAGTTATCGAATCAAAGGCACGCATGTCCTTGGCGCAATAATAGATCATGGTATCACATATTTTCTTTTTATTAGTTAAGGAAGAATTTATATCTATGGTTTTCTTTTGAATATATCTAGTTATTTTAGGAATAGAGGAATCGTCATTCTTAACGCACTTGTGACATCTTAAATAAGAATTTCCAGATGTACTTTTATATTGTAATATATTATTACGTTTTTGGCATTGGACAAATCAAGTTTTTTGTTTTTATCATCAAATATGTCTTCAAAATTTTCCCATATATTGCTTACCTAAATGGGGCTTACAAATAAATGTTCCATTTTTTATATGATTTTTCAAAAAAATAAAATCCATTTTTAAATTATAGTTAAATTTTATAAAATAAAATTTTTTAATTATTATACCCAAAATAAAAGATATATGACATGACATATGACGCCTAGTTTGTAACTAAATAAAATCAAATATTTTTATTTTACAAATAAAAATTGTTGCCGCCTTGTTCCTTAGAAAAAATTTTAAAAGTTTTATATATTTATTTTAGATACATGCCATATGGCGTCTAGTTTCTACAAATGAAATTAAATATTTTTATTTTACAAAAAAAAATTGGACCCAATTTATTAATTATATTTTAAAATTTTTTTCAAGGCCTGGCCCGAATTTTTTTAAAAAATATTAGGCCCAACCCGAACCCGAATTTTTTTAAAAAAAGTAGGATCTCTAATTTTTATACCAATGAAATAACTAATTAAACATATATAGCTTCTGTTTAATTGTTTTCCATTTTAATTCTCGTAATCTAAAATAATTACTTACATCTTAATCTAATATTCCTTAAAATTTATATTTGTAGAGAAAAAAATTATTTTTATATCCACTCCCCCTAGGCGCGTTTTCAATTATCCGTGAATCGTGGGAAAAAACGAGAGATTTAAAACATAACATTACCGCCTCCATGAAACTTTGCAACGAATCAAAAGAGATCAGGGCTAAGATTAAAGCCTTGAAGGAGACAAGCAAGGATAGTCTTGAATTGAGTATTAAAACCAATCAAAAAAATATTTCTGACCTCGACTCAAAAATTTTTCAGCTCAGGGACTCCAAGATTGGAGAACTCAATACACTGGTACATCTTTCTTTTTCACTTTTTATAGTTTATTGTTTATACATAGTTTTCATAAAATATATTTTACAATACACATTTCATATTTATACCATGATTATACACGGTAAACTAGATTTGCGATGGGAACTCTATGCCTTGTGACCCGGCTTGTGGAGGGGCTGGTTGCGGGGGGAAATGCGGTGGGCTGAGTTGCGATAACGGTGCCGCGACCAAATCGGCTAACGCACTAGAACTTGTCAAGGAAAGTAAGATCCTACTAGACACTAAAAAAGAACAAGCCCGCGATTTGCTGAAGAACGTGAGTCTTTTAATATTTCGTTGATTATTAACAAGATTGTTATTATAAGATTTTACTAAATACTTATGGGAAATTTATAGGTTATGACAAAAACACTTTAACGCCAATAACTATGTAATAATTAAATATAGTAAAATCATATTTAAATTTATGAATTAGGGAAAAAACAAAGGGACTGCCTTTTAACCTTTTTTTTATGAATTTTCCGAAACCTAAATGGAAATATTTTTTATTTTTAAAAAAGGTTGAATCAGCTGAAAAAAAATCTAAAAATTCTTTGAAAATATCGGAGAAAGCTTATAACAAAGCCTGGCAAGCTCTTAACTCTTCTCAAACTTCTATCGAAAAACTGCAAGATTTGCTTAACAAATCCGATCGGTTCCTGAGTTATCAAAACGCCACCCCTGCTCAAATAGAGACCGTAGCCCAAGAGGTTGGATATAATTTATTTTTGAATAGTTGAAAAAATAGTGATAATTATAGCGTCTTGGAATAAATCTCTAAATTCGCTGATTTGAAATATTTTGAAGTTAATTTCGCGAATTACCATAAATAAAGAAAATTAATTGATCATTTTATATTACAAGTACATTATCAAAATTTTGATATTTCATGTCTTAAAATAATTTGAAAAATATTAATTTTCAACATTTCTTTAATATTTATATTTTCAACTTAGAAACTGAATATTTTCAGGCTGTAGGAACAAATATAATTTACCTACAGAGATTCAATCTTGACTAGGCTCGGATTAATAATTTTTTTAGTCATGACGGTTTTTTTAAATTATGATCGAGGTTTTTAAAAGTTGAGAAATTAAAAATATGAGAAGTGAATGAATGTCATCCTTCACTTTTTATAACTGATTGATATAATTTTAATTTGGAATATCCCAGTTTATAATTTATTTATAGGCTCGGCCCTGTTTTGAAACTTTTTTATTTTTAATCCATTGATATATATATTATATTCACCGATCTCATTGGAATTCATACAAAACTTATCCGATATATATCGAGTTTGATGTACCATTTATCTTAACGATCATTCTTTGCTATCCAAAATAATAGCTTAATGTAAATTACGGGCAAAACAAAAAAAACTATAAAAATTTTCCCTTTTCCATAGTTAAGATGATATTCGTTGCATTATCACGAAAGTGCATTTTTTAAAATATTTTAAACCCTCTTTTTGTTGTGGGTAATATCACATTTTTACTTACTCTATCTTTTAAACATAGTTTATTTTTTTTATAAAAAACATTACATTTAAATTGAATTTTAGTTACCATTTATTCATTTCATTCAAATCGGGTTATAAACGATAAGTATCAAACCCGATTTGATTATTTGATAACTAATATCGGCACAGCATAATCTACAAATTTGAAATTTGGACTGGAAAGAATTTAGCCACTTTAATATAAAATTTTTTAAATTTACATTTCTTATATTTAGTATTTTCATCCGAAACTTTTTAAAAAATTTTTAAATGTAGTATAGTATACATGATTGATTATTATTCATCCACCAGTCTATCTTATAAAAGAAATCCAAATGAGTTCGCTCAAACTTAGATAAATTTTAGACAAGGCCTTACCATATTTTATTTAAACATTCAAATCTATAAAAGGTCATGAAGATGAACATATCTCTTAGTCCTTATGAAATTACTAACTTAGCCAACGAGATCAACCGTACCATTTTGAGTTTGACTAAGATCGATGAAATACTCACATCGACTCAGGCCGATGTTGACAGGGCTACCGAACTCAACACCAAGGCTTCAAAAGCAAAGTTTTTTTTATTGACGCTCCCCTATGTGCTAAACTTATTTATATTTTTGTTTGACTATCATGATAAACAGCACAATTTCAAGTTTTAAATTAGAAGTGTATCGATACCACTTTTTGGAGGCCGATCCGATATTGTCGATATTAAATTGATATTGGTCGATTATCGATCCAATATTACTAATCTGATTTTGTTATTTTCTATTATATTTAAAAAATATATACTATTATCAAATTTGTAATTTATTATTTTGACTTATTTATTTAGACTTATTTATTTAGTTATATTTATCAAGGTAGAAGTATATAAATATTAATAAATCATTTATTTATATAGTAAAGTCATTGTAATATTTTTTTGTCTCAAATGTATTTCTATCTTGTATTAGAGAATCCCATCTAGTTCATGATCTATATAAAATGTTAGTATATTTTAAAAATGATTAACTTTAAGATCATTAAAAATAAATTATATATTTTATTATATTAATAAATTTTAAAAAAATTTAATTTTTATCAGATCCAACTGGTAAATTTAATAATATCAGCCGATAACCGATATTTAAAAAAAAAGAAAAATTGGCCTGAATAAAAAATACCGGTACATCTCTAATTTAAATCAAATCAGGATTTGTTTCTATAGAACAGAGTTAACCAGATCTTTGATGTTCACGTTAATCAGATTTTGGTCTATTTTGCCAACACCAAAATGTGTGTTTTGAGATAAATAATATATTTAAATTTGATTATAAATCATATTTTGATTAAAGTGACTCAAAATAAAAAATAATAATACGTAAATTTTCATAAATTTATTCAGTGAGCACGCTAACGTAATACTTAAGATGGCCGAGAAAGTTAAGTCGGATTTGAACGAGAGCAAATCGAGCATGGAAAAAGCACAAACTCTTTTGGATAGAATATCGATTGGTATCGATAATACAACCAGAAATTTACAAAATGTAATTATATTCACATGAAATGTTTTAAAATTTTTTTTTATAAATGAGAATTTTAAACTCAAAATTTATTTAAAAAATACTACAATAAAGTGTGGTTACATTTATGTTATAAATTTTTGTCAGGATAATCCAACCTTTTTTTTAAAAAAATTTTTGAAGGGTTAATTTTATTTTTGCAATAGCAAGAATAGGGATTAAAGATTATAAACGCTTCTTTTTCAAAATGTACAAAAACTTTTTTCCCTACTTGTGCACATTTATCTTCTAACAAACGTAATATCACAGATGAAGGCGAACATTAATCCGACCCAACGATCGTTAGAAGAATCGGTATCGAGGATAGAGGATTTGAAACTCAGACTTAAAGGTATTAAATCTTATGTAACCAAATCCAATATAGACCTCACGACTGCTGCCAAACAATCATCGCAGGCCGACGCCTTAAGTAGTCAGGCGGAAAAAGTTAATCATTTCATTTTACTTTAAATCTTAAAAGTGTTACGAAAATTACAATCAACGATATATCGTCAAAAAAATTAAACTTTATTTTTTAAATATGGTTTATAATAACATCATATTCATTTTTTGGGGAGAGGTGGGAGGGGGGTATTAGCTTAAAATAATTTTACGAAACTGACAAATTAGGGGTTTTTATAACTTTATTCGTAATGTTCTATATTTTTTATTTAGGACAAATTTGATAAAAATATTATTAAGATTTTAAATCCGAAAAAACCTTTATATTATTTTCTACTGTCACTTAACCAGAACCCTTAATAATTTTTAGCAGCTGAACAGTAACCCTTTTAGTTTATTTTGTTTCCTGAACTGAACCCGATGCCGGCTCAGATCTCTAAATTAATATAGATGTGTATGTGCCATCTATAAGTATCTTATTTAAAGCATTTATTTTTTTCGGATTTTTCATTTTATTTATTACAGAGATTAGAAAGAAAAAAAGAAAATAAATTTAACGTAATTTATAATTAATTTTGCTGAGAAAGATTAGAGTGATAATTTTATTTTAACTGGATTTAATATATCAAAGATGCAACCTATAGTAAAATAGTTATATTTTTACTTATTTTTAGCTCACCATAGATCTAACATATACTTCAATTCTTAGTTACTTATTTTTAGTTTACTATCTGACATATACAATTCTTTTATATTGCTTCTTCCAGATCATATTTACTTATGATCAGACTACGATATATATGTATATCTTGTTGAATCTCGCCTTAAAAAATAATCACATTTTCATATATACTTTATTTTCTGGTATCACTTTAATTTCTACCATCTCCTAATTCCAGCAAGATAAGGGATATATTATATTATGTATAGATGATTATATTAATTACTGGCAGATAGTCCGTCAAGAATGATGGGGGAATCAGAAATTTATTATTATTTTAGTGGTAGGTGATTCAGAAATTTTCCATTATTTTTGTAAAATTTGTTATAATATGAAAAAATAATTGGAACATTCTAAAAATACTATGGTATTATTTAATAATTTCTTGGTCTTAATATCAACAATAAAAAATCTTTCATTTTTATACATTAGTATCAATTTATGATACTAAGTATTTAATCCTGATCCTGATGGGTGAGGGATTTTAGGGTAATAAATCGTAAATAAGGTATGCAAAAGAAAACCCTCGCAAGATTAAATTTTTTATCAAAAATTACAAATTTAGCTAAAAAGATGAGATATTATATAAACGGTGTCATAGAAATAGTATATTTACAAATATGTTCTGAGTATTTGTTCATGTTTAAGGGACTATTATATACAATTTCAATAAAATAATGGAATCGGAATCATCTCTCATAAAAATAAAGGTAAATTTCTGATCCATGCATCATAAAATAGTCAAATTTATGATTCATGGGTCATTCTTGAAGGGATATCTGCTAGTTTACTTATAAACATCCAATTCCATTTAAAAATATATAGGCATACAAGGATTTGGAAGAGCAATACGTCGAAGCTTCTCATAAAATATCACAGGAGATGGACGAAGATAATGAATTGATGAAAAAAGCTCATGACCTCAAATTTAAAGCTCAGTTGCTATCTCAGAATACTATCTCTAAGCTCAAGGAGATGGATGGTTTAAAAATATATTATTGCTTAAATTTTAAGGTCCTTCTGATTATTAAAAATCTCATTTAATAAATTTGTAGCGTATTCTCTACATCCTAGCCCTTTTTATTAGTTACTATTTTATTTTTATTACATAATAATTATTAATCTTAACTTTGTTATAATTTTTAACAATTTAGATTTACAAAAAAACTTGGACCAACATGATATTGTCTATAAAAACTTGACCCAAGAGGTTTCTGAGCTTAACAAATTAATGAAAATGTATTTGCCGCGAATCAATGACAAGGCTATGATGTATAGAACGTGCAATCCTTAATTTTTTTTAAAATATTATATATTTTTTAATTTTTTGTAACCACCTATTAAAAAAAAGTTATATTTAAATTTTTTCTTAGGAAGTATAAATAAAAGAATATATATAAGACTTTTATAATTTTTTTTTTTAAAAAATCTCTTTTCTGACATTGAAATCTTTTATTATAATTAATAATGCAACCTTTTCAGTGATTAAATAATCATGTTATATTTTCAATTTTAGTTTTTATTAAAAAAAAATATTATTTTTTATATATTTTTATTATTATAACTTATTCGCTTTATATAAGAATTGTGCATTTTAAATTTTTTAATTTTGTACATTATTATAAATAATTTTCTATTATTTTCATTTGATAGTAATTGTATTATTTATAATTTCATTTAAATTTAGTTAAATATTTCTATCGTTATTTTGATAATATTCTTTGACAATATTGTCTTAATTATAATAATTAATCAGTTTATAATATTTTGAAGACTAAAGTGAGATATTTTGTAAAATTCTTCAAAGAAGAACGAGGACAATTAGTTTTCTTTTATAATTTATTCAAATTTATCAATCATGAATAGAATGTATTATGAGAATAATTTTAATTTTTAATAATAAAATTCTCGTGTACAAATCAGTACTAGTTAAGTTCCATTTTTAAAAATGCAGATGTTTTACATAATAATTAGTAAATGGACAGAAATGTCCAATAGAAAATAAAAACTACAAAATTTTAAGAATTCTTTTAAAGGCTTAGAAAAAACGGATTTTTATTTTTTAAATTCGTATGAGCTTATTCACGCGTCAGTGGTTCTTACACACCCTAGGCTTCTCTATCAAAAATATGCGCATCCCTAAAAAAAGTAACAGTTGTAATTGTTCACTTCTACCACATAATTACTGCTGAATTTCCATTATTTGTTTTTTTCCTCTTGAATTTAGTTTTTTTATTTCAAATATGTAATATTGCTATAAAACCAATGACGATAATGCGAATTAAAGGTAATCTGCATTTATTGAATTCAGCTCTAGTTGATTTCGTCGGCTTATTAGGCGCCCGTAAAAATATTTAATTTAAAATGTCTCACATTTCGTCTAATGCCTTTCAATGGCTGATTTCAAATAATTTCATGTTTTTACAGAATATACATATCCTATCTCATCACTCACTGGCGATCCCAAGCGATATGCGCTTACTATAAACACGGCATAAATAGTAAAATTTTCAAGCTCCGTGAAGTTGGCAGAACGACTTGAGGTGCAATTGACAAAAATTATGCCATTATTTAGAGTCTTAATTGCACTTCTATCCGGACATCAGCAGAATGAACCGTTCGTGAGTTATGAGCAAAATAAGGAAAGTGTGAAATTTTGATGCTGGCAGAACGACTTGAGGTGCAATTAACAAAAGTTACGCCATTATTTAGAGTCTTAATTGCACTTCTATCCGGACATCAGCAGAATAAACCGTTCGTGAGTTATGAGCAAAATAAGAAAGTGTTGGCATTTTGCCAAAACCGAAAATAAAAGAGATCCTTTTTTGAAACTTAACAATAATGTAGTATATGATTTACTCTTCAATATTCTCAAACCCGGATATCCGTATGTATAACCGTAACCGAGCTATACCTATTTAAAAAACGTGAAGTTGGCAGAACGACTTGAGGTGCAATTAAAAAAAATTATGCCATTATTTAGAGCCTTAATTGCACTTCTATCCGGACATCAGCAGAATGAACCGTTCGTGAGTTATGAGCAAAATAAGAAAGTGTTGGCACTTTGCCAAAACCGAAAATAAATTAGATTACCTTTTGAAACTTGGCAATTAATTAGTTTACAATTTGTGCTTTAATATTCTAAAAACGGGATATCCGTATCATTAACCGCAAGCGAATAATATTTATTTATCTGAGAAAAATGTAGTAGGCGAAATTATTTATAAAAAGTGAGGTGCAATTAGAATGTCAATGTGTAGCCCTTTAATAGAACATTAAGAATCTATAAACGGCTTATCAGCAGAATTAACGGCTAGTGAGTTATGAGCAAAATAAGAAAGTGTTGGCACTTTGCCAAAACCGAAAATAATTAAGAATAACTTTCGAAACTTGGCAATTATTTAGTATAAAATTTGTGCTTTAATATTCTCAAAACGGGATATCCGTATCATTAACCGTAACCGAGTTATATTTATTTATTTGAGAAGCGGAAATGAGCGGAACTCTTAGTAAATGTGAGGTGCAATTAGCGATTCTTATGCCAGTGTGTAGCCCTTTAATTGAACATTAAGAATCTTTAAACGGCATATCAGCAGAATAAACGTCTAGTGAGTTATGAGCACAATAAGAAAATGTTGGCACTTTGCCAAAACCCGAAAAAAATTAAGAATAACTTTCGAAACTTGGCAATTAATTAGTTTACAATTTGTGCTTTAATATTCTAAAAACGGGATATCCGTATCATTAACCGTAACCGAGTTATATTTATTTATTTGAGAAGCGGAAATGAGCGGAACTCTTAGTAAATGTGAGGTGCAATTAGCGATTCTTATGCCAGTGTGTAGCCCTTTAATTGAATATTAAGAATCTTTAAACGGCATATCAGCAGAATTAACGGCTAGTGAGTTATGAGCAAAATAAGAAAGTGTTGGCACTTTGCCAAAACCGAAAATAATTAAGAATAACTTTCGAATCTTGGCAACTATTTAGTATTCAATTTGTGCTTTAATACTCTCAAAACGGGATATCCGTATCATTAACCGTAACCGAGTTATATTTATTTATTTGAGAAGCGGAAATGAGCGGAACTCTTAGTAAATGTGAGGTGCAATTAGCGATTCTTATGCCAGTGTGTAGCCCTTTAATTGAACATTAAGAATCTTTAAACGGCATATCAGCAGAATAAACGGCTAGTGAGTTATGAGCAAAATAAGAAAGTGTTGGCACTTTGCCAAAACTGAAAAAAATTAAGAATAACTTTCGAAACTTGGCAATTATTTAGTATTCAATTGGTGCTTTAATATTCTCAAAACGGGATATCCGTATCACTAATAGTAACCGAGTTATATTTATTTATTTGAGAAGCGGAAATAAGCGGAATTCTTTGTAAATGTGAGATGCAATTAGCGATTCTTATGCCAGTGTGTAGCCCTTTAATTGAACATTAAGAATCTTTAAACGGCATATCAGCAGAATTAACGGCTAGTGAGTTATGAGCAAAATAAGAAAGTGTTGGCACTTTGCCAAAACCGAAAATAAATTAGATTGCCTTTTGAAACTTGGCAATTAATTAGTTTACAATTTGTGCTTTAATATTCTAAAAACGGGATATCCGTATCATTAACCGCAAGCGAATAATATTTATTTATCTGAGAAAAATGTAGTAGGCGAAATTATTTATAAAAAGTGAGGTGCAATTAGAATGTCAATGTGTAGCCCTTTAATAGAACATTAAGAATCTATAAACGGCTTATCAGCAGAATTAACGGCTAGTGAGTTATGAACAAAATAAGAAAGTGTTGGCATTTTGCCAAAACCGAAAAAAATTAAGAATAAATTTCGAAACTTGGCAACTATTTAGTATTCAATTTGTGCTTTAATATTTTCAAAACGGGATATCCGTATCACTAATAGTAACCGAGTTATATTTATTTATTTGAGAAGCGGAAATGAGCGGAACTCTTAGTAAATGTGAGGTGCAATTAGCGATTCTTATGCCAGTGTGTAGCCCTTTAATTGAACATTAAGAATCTTTAAACGGCATATCAGCAGAATTAACGGCTAGTGAGTTATGAACAAAATAAGAAAGTGTTGGCACTTTGCCAAAACCGAAAAAAATTAAGAATAACTTTCGAAACTTGGCAATTATTTAGTATTCAATTTGTGCTTTAATTTTCTCAAAACGTGATATCCGTATAACTAATAGTAACCGAGTTAAACCTCAAATTTTGAAATGAATAGTTAAAATTTCTATTATTCATCTGTCCTCCGTTAGAAATACAGTTTAGCAGCCAAAATTAAAATATTAATAGCTAAATAAAAAATGGCGTCACCACTAAGACAAAATCAAGAATAACGACATACATCTTTTGCCATTATTTTGTGATTAACTATTAAATTTTTATAATTTGACAATCTAGGCAGCGACACACATATTTTATTATTTATCTCTGATACCAGTAATATAAAATTTAAATGGGTACATTGGCCTTTATGACTTTTGTACTAGTCGCTTTATTATTTAAATCGCCAAAAATTTCATAGGTAAGATATAATATATATTTACATAATGCGAACAATGTAGATTATATTAATCACAATAATAAAGAATAATTTGTTATAATTGCGGTATATATATTTATTTAGTCAGACATGATGTCGTTTTAATTACAATTTATGTAAATTTAAGCGTTTAAGTTACGCTATTACTAAATATCACCCAGGCTATCTAAGATTATATATTATTTATATGAATTTGTATGAGATATATAGCGTTTGAATTTCACTAAAGTGTTTTAGGTTTAAGAACATGATTGAATCCCTCGAGCTAGTTAGTTATTAGTGTTAGGCCATCTACATGATACCTAAATTAAATATTGAAAAATATTAATGATTATAAATATTTCAAGTTTTTATACCTTTTCCATATAGTATGAGCGAATAATGCAGTTACACTTAGCCACGTGAGGAATAGATTGTGAGTTTCAATAGAAGCATCTTGAATACTTTAGATTAAAATATTTAAAAAATTAACCTTTCACTATATTTGGAAATAAAATCTAAGAACAGACATAGCAGTCGCGTCCTATTGCCGGAAGCACCAAAATTTTTGACATTGAGAAAAAGTTGAATATATATCTCCCTTGTATAACTGGGATCATTACATTTTCATACATTATTTACAATGTATAGAGCTGAACATATAATCTAGGAACTATACAAAAATTTCCGTCCATATATATTGTTGATACGGATGACATCAATTTTAGCGTTACCAAAAATCAATATTCTACTATTTTCAGTTGGGAATATTTGAGATCTTGAGGTTTTTGTATAAATGGGGTTCAAATTATATCATGAATATGGGGCAGGAAGGCCTATATTTTTTTCAGGAGCCTATCAATGATGACCCCCTAATTGATATAAATGGGGGAATTGCTTTGGGATAATTTTCAATATAGAGTTTC